GTAATTAATGATAATATGTCATAAATTTAACAGCAAAATGACTTTTGATGAATAATGACAAAGTGTCATTGTTGGGGGAGAGATGTCAAAGAGGGGTCTCGAGTCCTGTGTCTATAAGCACAAACTGACCTTTATTTGGAGCTCCTTATCAACACAGCATGGGAGAGGTTCTCCTCTAGGACACTCTACCATTTTCAGCCAGGTGCAGTATTTTTATACATACAGTGTTACAATGGTTATATGGAACATTGATGTCATTGTTGGCCACATCCTCCTAATCTGCACACCCAGTCCTGTAAGCACATGATCAATGATGGACACCACAATGGACAGCCTCAGGCCTTCCCATGATTTTGTGACATTTACCAGAAACCATTACCGTCTGTCTTTGGGATCTCACAATGCATCTTATCAAATTACATTCCAACACTGCCAGTTATGCTCCTTCCTAAACATTTGCTGGCTGCATCACGTTCATTGTCAACAAATTGAATACTTGTTTATCACGAATGACCTCTTCCAGTTCGGTTCGGCAGTTTATATTCCCCACTAACCTTGTTACAGGAGGTACAAAAATATGGCAATTTCTACCAATTGCTATCAAATGTGCAATATCAGTTCAATACAATGCTGGTTATATATGAAGTTATATATTTACATCTAATGCTATAATCCTTTGACAAGGCTAATAAAATGGGGAGTGGATTCTCTCTCTTGGCCTTCTTGGAGGTCAAACAAGCATAATCTCTCTATCTTGCAGTTGCTAGTTGGTTCAAAACAGAAGTTCGATTCTCGGGTGGGCCCCACTGTCTTTAATTCAAACACCTTTCACACTAGTTTTCCCCACCAGCTCGCACATATTCAAATCCCTTTGATAGGGATGGAATTTAATCACTTTTACAGTTTTCTGCTTGCTGAGCTGTGAAGTTGCAATTGTTTGTTTTCCATGTTTTACAACCTCTTTCGCTCTTTAGACGTTGTCTGTTGACGCTATTTGTCACTTCATCTTCCCTGCTAATGAAGTGAGCCTCCTTCTTACTGTCTCAGGTTGACTGCTCAGGGGAATTCAGCTAAATCCCTTTACGTTAGTTTGTAGGTTGCATTCTTAATTTCATAATACTCATATAGGTATGTTTAATATGTAATGGCAATTACCAAGGAGCCTTGACTATTGTGGGATCGTACTTTTCTTTTGGTTCTTGCTAAAGTATAAACTTAAGGTTGGTTGTTACTAGATGCCTCTTGTCTAGGTTTATCAAGGATGCTTTCTTCTCAAAAAATGCTTGTGTGCTTAGAGCTGCCTGACTACAGAAATCTAATTAAATCTCCCAATGCCTCATATACTAAAACTGAAGGTACCACTATTATTGCATGAACATAGTCAAATGTGTGTATACTTTGACCTGAAAATGTTCTGACTAGGTGGGTAAAGTTTCCCCTTCTACTCTATATTAAATGGGAAGTTTTACATTAGTTTGCTAAAAAGGTTTTCAGCTGTGCCCCACTTATCTGGGCTGCCTCATTGACTCACAGTCCCCTTTCTTCTCTCTCAGAGAGCTTCTGTTATCTTATGCGGTGACCCTGAATGGAGCCACAAGTTTGGCTGTGAAATTCTGCTATATCTAGCTGCCAACCTCTTCTTGGCCATCTTATGTCAGCCAAAAAGCCCTGGGCGGTTATTTTAAGTCAACTTTAGTCATGGGCAGCTGCAACACTCATTGAGATACTTCTTTTTATTCTTTGGGGGAAGATATGATGTAAACTGCACGGTACATATAAGTATTGCCTTTATTAGTTTGGTTTTCCGCTGTTTAAATTTATAACTGGTGGGTTTTCTGCATGTCTGAAGTTAATAATGAGCTTGTGCATATTGCTATAGTAATGGTGATTTCTTTAGAAAATAGTTTTTGATGTCTGGCTTTCGAGTGTTTTGAGTGCAACACTTTTAGACTTTTACGTATTTTATACTGTTAGGCAACCTAGCATGTTTAATAATGGGACCTCAAGTTTTGTCAAAGAGTTCTGGGGCTTGCACTTTTTTAAAGTTAAGGGGAAATGCCCATAGATGAGAGAAAGAAACTCTTAGTTTCACTTTTGGCTTTGAATGAGGTAATCCTGCGAAGTTCTTGAAATAGGATGGCTGTAGCAAAAAGTACTTCTGGGAAGGAAAGATGTATGACGTTACCTAAGAGTGAAGAGTTAGTATTAGGTACCAGAGCAGATGTGTTGACGTAACCCTTATAGAGATTACTTAAAGCTGAGTCCACTTAAACAGTTCTATGAGGCTCCAGGAAGAAGATGTCTGCAGTTCCAATCTAAATGTTGATGCCATAAGTGATTTAACATGATAGAAGTGTAAGATACAGGGACTGGAGCGAGAGTGTTATATGACTGGTGTTTTGGATGCTCAACCAGTGTGTGTTTGGGGTGCGACAACAAAATTGTTTGGTTTCTTTTTCATTTCTAAAGAAATGAATTTGGTGTTTAAAGTGTGTTTAAAAATCTTTGAATCATAAATTGATAGTTTGAATCAGTCTATTTTACCTTAATTTTTTGACATAAACTTCCCATTATGGGATTTTCAGAAAGTTTCTGATAAAATCACACACAAGAGGTTATTGTGTGAGGTTGAAGCATATGAGATTGGCGGTGAGATACTGGCATAGATTGAGATTGGTTAAATAGACAGTAGGAATAGATAGGCACTGTTCGGGCTAGAAGGCACTGGCAATTGGAGTGCTGATGGGATCAAAGTTTAGCTCCAACTATTCACAGTATTTATCAATAAGGAATCAAGTATAATATTTCAGTTCGCTGATAGTAAGAAACTAGGTGTGAGTGTGAATAGTCAGGAGATGTAAAGACACTTCAGGACAATTTTGACAAATTGAGTAAGTGGGCAAATACATGGCAGATGCAGAATAACACAGACAACTGTGAAATCAACCACTTTCACAGGAAATTTGAAAAATGGAAAGTAATTTAAATTGTGATAAATTTGGAAACGTTGATGTACAAAGGGACCTGGGTGTCCTTATACAATGGTCATTGAAAGCAAGCATGCAGGTACATCAAACAGTTAGGAAGGTAGAGGTTATCCTGCTCTCCATTGCAAGAGGATATGAATACGGGAACAAGGATGCTTTCCCATAGCTGTATTGGGTTCTGGGGAGACCAAACTTTGGGTATTGTGTGCAGTTTTCATGTCTTTAACTTGCCCAAGAGAGAATGCAATGGAGGGTTGCTAGGCTGATACCAGGGATGACAGGTTTCTCATCTGAGGAGAGATTAGATTGACTCGATCTATATTCACTTGAGTTTAGAACAATGAAAGGGATCTGATAGAAACTTTTAAAAAGTATTCAGAGCTGGATACAGGAATGATGTTTCCCCTGCATGTGGAGTCCAAATGGGGATCATGGTTTTAGATACCAGGGTAGGACATTTTAGACTAAGATTAGGAGAAAGTTCTTCATTCAGAAGGCAGTGAACCTGAGGAATTCTCTACAATAGAAGGTTATGCAGCCAAAGTCACCGAAAATAGTTAAAAAGAAATAGATGAATTTCTAAAAGTTGTCAAAGGATATGGGGAGAGCGCAGGATTTTGGAACCGAGATAAAGGATCAGCAACAATCACGTTGAATGACAGGTTGGGTTTGATGGGCTGAATAGCTTAGTCCTGCTTCTATTTTCTATGTTTCTGTGTTTCATCACAGATTTTATGCTCACACATCTGGCATGGACATCGTCACATTGGAGTCCCTGTGCCCCTGCTTCAAATACAATGACAGAGACGGCAAAGGCAATACTGTCAGCAAAAGGGACAAAAACAATAAGTGTCACAGCATCTCAAGTGGGAGAAGATGCAGGTGAAATGCCCTGAGGATCTGGAAGGGAATGATGCAATCCCACATCTGCAGGCCTTCCTGTTATTTTCTAAGGCTCTCAGAAAGTCATTGACAGTGCTGGAGGCTCAGTAGTTAGCATGGTTACTTCATAGTGCCAGGCACCCAATTTCAATTCCAGCCTTGGGTGACTGTCTGTGTGGAGTTTACATGTTCTCTTTGTGTGTGCATGGGTTTCCTCCGATAGTCAAAGATGTGCAGGTTAGGTGAATTGGCTATGCTCAATTGCCCCATTGTGTGCAGGCCACATAGAATAGGCATGGTAAATGTGGTGTTATGGTGATAGGGTGTGTTGCTTTTGGAGGGCTGGTGATGACTTGATGGGCTGAATGGGATTTTTCCAAACTGTAGGGATCCTAAGATATATCGAGCCATCATTAACAAACTGTGTTATGTGCTGGAGGAAGACTTATGCCCAGAAGATGCCAATCTCATTTCAGTGATCTCCAAAGTCATGGATGCATTGCATTATTATAACACCAGCTCCTTTCGAGGAACAACTGGCAAGCTGTGTAGCATCTCCCAAACCTTGATTCAGGAATGCATACAGGATTAACTGATATCATTTACTCTAGGTCACTGTTGTCCATGTTACACCCCCTCCCAAATGTCCCCTCTGATGAGGAGAGTCCAATAGCCCAGACAGTGAAATTGTCCAACATCACTGGCTTCCCACAGTTGCAGGTTGCTATCAACTGCACCCATAGTTCTTACCCTTCAGAGATTATCAACAGAAAAAGCTTCTACTCCAAAGAAGTTCAAATTATATGTGACCATCAATGTCAGAATTTGGAGGTCTGCATCATTTATCATGAAAGCTGCCATGATGCTGACATACTCGTGAATCCACAGGGTCCTTCAGCCTGTCAAGGTCATTGGGCCCTAAAGGGATGCTGCTGGGAAAAAAAGAGGGCAGTCTTCATGACTGACTGTTGACACATTTACTGAACGCCCAGACTGACCCAAGATGAAGATACAACACTGCCCATGCTTCTACCAGGGCCACAGTGTAACAAACCACAGAGCTTCTTATGATGACGGCTTATGCCTGGATTGCTCAGGCAGAGCCTTGTAGTAAAGCCCAGAAAGGGTCTTTCATATCCATTGTGGCTCACTGGGACCTTCATAGCTACTGCGAAGAAGCGGGATGTATCCTGGATGCAGAAAAACAGGGGAAATAACAATAATCTGCTGAAAATGAAGATGTAAATAAGGATCAGGACATTGATGAGGAGAGCTGTGCAAAACAGAATGACAAAGCAATGTATATTCAAGTCTGAGAAGTTAGAGATAACCTCAGTGGAACTCTGATTCCAGAACTAATGTGCTGGGTTTGGATTTTGTTTAATTGTTGTTTACCATTCTATAGGTAACATGGTAATTAGCTCCTGCTATGTGCAAAGCACATGTGGGTCTTGTTATTGTCGTAGCCCTTGACATTTTTTTTTGTTGAATAATCGTTTTGTAATCCATCTGATTAAACACTGGCTCTCCAAGGGAAGGCTGTGCTGTAAAGGTATTGCCACTGGACTACTATCCCAGAGATCTCGGCCAATATTCTGGGAATGGGCGAATGAAGCCAACATTGGAAGATAGTCAAATTTGAAGTAAATTTGAAATTGAAGTCTAGTCTAATGGTAACCATGAAGCTATTGTTCATTGTTGTAAAACTTTTCTTCACTAATGTCCTTTCAGGAAAACAAAACTATCATCGTGACCTAGTCTGGTCTACACATGACTCTATCCCACATCAATGTAATTGACTCTTAACTGCCATCTGAAGTGACCTGGTAAACCACTCAATTTAAAGGGAATGAGAAATGGATGATAAATGTTGACGAGGTCAGTGACACACACATTCTATGAAAGAGTAAAACAAAATCTTCAGTTGATCCCACTTTTCAGTATCTACGTATTACATGTCGTAGTCAGCAGCTGCTAGTGAAGTGGTGCACAACACGAAGGTTGGGTAGATCCTAAAGCACCAATCAGATTTTTGTAGCCAAATGTTGTCACTGAAGTCTTTCATAAGAGCCAGCAAGTTGAGAGGAATCACCTATTGACTCTTCCATCAGCAAGACATCATTAAAGTGCGATGCCTTGGCTGCAAACATGAATTACATGAGATAGTAGGAACTGCAGATGCTGGAGAATCCGAGACAACAAGGTGCAGGGCTGGATGAACACAGCAGGCCAAGCAGCATCATAGGAGCAGAGAGGCTGACGTTTCGGGCCTAGACCCTTCATCAGAAAAGCTCTTATTTCAGCAGTGACAGGGACACCTGGAGTGGGGTCAAGATCCCTCAACATCCTTTCAACTAGCCATTGACACTGTTGCTGTAGTGATGGAGTGCTGATCTATGCATATATCTAGCAGACACTGAATGTGTTGCGCCTGGGTCTCCATAACAGTTGCTAATCTGTCCAAAGAGACAGCCAAATGCACGTATGCCAAGGCAAGCATAGATCTGAACTTTGGTAGATGGCGTCATTCTTTGATCTCATTGCCAGAGTGACTCTAACAAACCTGTTTACTGTTCCCTTGCCTCTCCGTGCATTTTGATGTGGTTACCAATGTCCAAGACCACGGAACTGTCTTCTGCCTGGGGTTGAGCAGGCACCTGACCTGAGTGCCAGAGACTCTGGCCCATCTCTTCCTTGAACAGCAGTAGACATGCGTCAGTAATGTGCTCACCAGATTGTGCTCCTGAGTTTAATCTAGAAAGATACCCACCAAGGCGAGTGTCTCTGAGCTAGTGGAGGGTGGAGGTCAAAACTTTGACCGTGCATCCTCTGAGTGCTCAGTGGCTGCCTCTTTAGATGTGGAAGTGGCAGTGGAGCTGAAGGTCTTGGATGCTGACCACTTCCAGATGGAGGTTTCCTCGCAGTTGCTAATGCTGTATCGGAGGAGAGATAGACTTTGTTGTGTTAAAGAGATAAGTGCTTGTACAGGTTAAGAATTAGCTAGCACGGATGGTAATAGAAGAGCAACACAGCACATCACAATGAAGCTGACTTTGTTGCTGGCCATTCAGTTCATGCCATTTCCGTTAATGGAGTGTTTTTATCAGAACGGAGCCCATTCTAGAATTTTCAGCATGTAAGACCCTACTACTACAGTCAGCCCTTTAGATCAGTTGTGGACTACTTTTACATGCAATGGAACAAAAAAAGTGATTCAGTATGATGGAGTTAAAGGTAGAGCATTGATTGATGATGCAGGAGCCGAAGGAGTAGTGATGTGTTCCCAGTGAGTAAATAGGAAGCAGAGAGGACAGGAAGGGTTAGTCATTTTGAAGGATGAGGTGGGTGAGAGCCAGTGAATTGGCAAGATGCTTGAAGTAGAGGAAGTTTACAGATGAGTCTTGAAGAAATGTGTGTGCAATGGCAGCTGTAGAGTGAGTGGTGGCCCTGTAAGAGTGAGGTGACAGAGAGAAAAGAGTGTCCCTTACCTTTGCAGAGCACAGAAGTGCATTGAGCATCTTTCTCTACCATTCTGTGTCCTGAGAAACAACACTAACCTGGCCCATTATCTCAGTCCTAGCTGGCTGTGTATGATGGTGTGGTCTCCTTCAGCACTTTGCAGGAGAAAACATGGCTGTCCTCTCCACCGGCCCATCCATCAGCATCTCTGGTCCCTGTCTCCAAAGTGGCGAGCCAACCTACTTTTCTGGGCCATGTCCTTGCTGTGAATGGTGTAACATCAGAGTAAGAGCAAATTTCAGACATGCATTATCTGAATTGGTGTGCAGCAGGAATACGAATAGGTTGCCAACAGTTGAACACTGTAAGGTCCCAGCAGCGGGAAGGACTTCTGCCTCTCCAACTGTGCAGTTTCACAAGTAGGGCATTGAAGGGCCAGGTTCCATAATTCATGACGTGAAGAGCAGAAGGTTGTGTGAGAAAAATCACTCCAGGTTATGGTGGACCAAGTGTCAGGAGGCTTTCTCAACAAAACACTTTAGCTGAAAATAGGAAAACTCTGACCTGTGTATCTATTTAACCCTGTATCTGGACACTTCTGTACAGATGCAACCGAAAACAAATCCAAAACAATGCAGCAGATATTGTTCCTTTTAAGATCATTTAACTTAATCTCTCAGGTTATAATCATTTTGTCCTGAAAAATAAAGCAATAAAACTTTGAGAAAATGGAGGAATTAATGGAAAATAAGGCAGTTTTGACCAATTAAGCTAGCTCATTGTTAAGTATGTCAGAAGCTGATTGTAAAATTACACAACTGTCACACTTATTTTTTGTTGATATCATTGCACCTATTTTCTTTTAACAAATTGCTAACGTGCTCTCTTGTGTAGTTTCCTACCCTTTATTTTTAATCATTAATTACTTCCCTTGCAGAGAAGTCATTTTTATAACAGTTTTTCCGAAATAAAAGTACAGTTGTGGTGACTCACAAAACAATTGTATCTTTACTACATTGAATTATGCTGATACAATGTTAAACTAACACATTGGCAAATTCATTTTCATTTCAAGTGCTGTAACTTTTATTCTTTATTTGAAACAATACCTCCAATCTTAATGTATTTCTTGCTGTTGCATTAATTAATTGTTGCAACATTTACAACTAATATCAAAGACCAATTTACCAGGACAAGTAAGTACATTGGTTTCTCCAAGGCCACAACTGTAAAATTTCTGACGATCAGTTAGGTTAGGATTGCATTGGCGTCAATGGCTTTCCCCAGAAACTGGCAATGGTGTCAGTCATGTTGACTCATATCCTGTAAGACAAAATGTAATCAGTATTATAATGATTTGGATTTCATTACACTGATAAAGATTTTCATTCTCTTGTCAGACTTCGTTCCCTTTTCATATAATTACATTGCAATAATGGCACAAGTCAGAGAATACAAAGTTAGAACTGACAAAGATACCGTTCTTCCCAAAAATTTGAACCTTGAACTCAAACAGCATTCCACAGTGGACAGAGGATGGATTTAAAGAGTCTCTATAGGGGGAGCTTTAGGAACAGAGCTCCAGGGTTCAGGGCTAAGACATTTGAAGGCTCTGCTGTGGTATATAAAGAGAAGGATGGGTTTAGACAGTGGCCCGACCTTGAAGAGTACAGCATGCAACTCAGCACATAGGCCAACAGGAGATTACAGAGAAAGAATGGACCCTTTAGGCAGGAACTTGTTCCTGACTGGAGGTAATTGGACTGTGGGCTGATGATGTTAGATTGCCCTCAGTGAGATCCAAATAATATGACATATAATTTTTTGTTTTAAGTTATTATTCAGAGTAAAGTTGCAAGCATTCCACTAATTTGGGAAGCAAAGAAGTGGAATTGGTTGATATGGAGGAGCTGCTTTGGAGCTTAGGTCAGATAGTAAGAGAGGCAGTAATGAGGAGTGATACTGTCACCACTGATGTGTGGTTAATAATGGCATGAAATTTTGGTGGAGGTTGTTTGCATTATAAATGTGGACATTGACATTTAAAATAAAAAAATGTAGACACAAACATTGCACCAGAAAGTGAACCTTAAATAGGAGGTATATGGAGACACAGGTTTTGTTAAAAGCACAGATTTAGTTGGATCACACATAACAATTTACCAGTAAATTTAATGTCAAGGACAGACTTCAATGTGTTGGTCAAAGGGTAAACTCCTTGTGCACAATGAGTCCCATTGTAATCATCCAGATCCAATGCCCACAGCATGGCACCTCCAAATTTATTATCCTTCACCCATTGAGCCTATTAATCAAAAGATATAAAAATGCAATTAAGCAGCATGAAATAAAAATCGTCTTTTATTAAAGGATTGGTTCTTACCCCTGAATAAAATGAAATTCTAAGGATATAGATTGTAAGATTCCTCTTTAATAACTCTGAAGAATACTCAGTTCCATACATGTAGGAGAGGTCAAAGGACGGAGACCCATAATATTTTGATGGCTGTTTGGTGGGATACCTGTAGAAGTATATCACTGGCCCTCAACTTGTCCTGCTCAGCCCACCCCAAAACTGGAGGGTCTAAGGGAACAGGAAGTCAGGAGAGAAAAACTGGAAAGTATCAGACAGCTGGAGGAACACAGCAGGCCAGGCAGCATCAGAGGAGCATCTGAAGAAGGGTCCCGACCTGAAACGTCGACTTTCCTGCTCCTCTGATGCTGCTTGGCCTGCTGTGTTCCTCCAGCTCCACGCTGTGTTATCTCTGACTCTAGCATCAGCAGTTCTTACTATCCCAAAGTAGCAGATAGCCTTCTTTCTAATTTGGGTCATTGAATTCGTGGGTCTGTATCAAAATCAGTTGAGTCACAGTTCGCTATGGATACATTGTGATTAGGATAAGGAGGAGTATGGGGTGAATAAATGATGCTGACATTTCTAAACATATTCTGTCATAATCAGCATTTTTTTCACAAATTACTATATTGTTCCTCACTTCACTGAGTTTATTGTTACTCCACTTAATAGTGGTGGAGGACATTCTTCTGTTCAAAGCAAATCCATTATATTTAATCTGATTTACACAGTCAGTTTGAAGCATTGTCTTACGTTCTTGCACTCTTTAATTCTGTTGAAACCCCATATAATATCCAAATGCTTATGAACGTACAAACCCAGAGAGAAAAAAAAAGTTTCCTCATTTTTGTTTTAAATGAGTATTTTTATAATGAGTGTATTCTTAAACTATGACCCTAGCTCTAGGTTCTACCACAAGAGGAAACATCCTTTAAACATCCATCCGGTCAAGTGCCTTCAGGATCTTATATGTTCCAATTAAGTCATCTCTCACTCTTCAATATTCCAGAAGATACAAGCCTAGCCTGTCTAGCCTTTCCTCATAAGGTTTACCATCTGCAAAATCAATGTTCTGCAATATCTGTTTTTAGATGCAATTCAACATGTGGAATAGGTTTATTGCATCACAGACTATTGTTACGCCCACATCATAGGAGATGAATAAATACTTCACTTTTCATTCCTGAGGGTGATATAACAAAGTTTTGAAATTTTTAAATGTATGTGTTATTTTCCAAGTTCTATACATACCTGAACATGCATAAAGCTGTAAAGAAACAAGGCAGACAGACATCTTTGAGTTAATTATAAATACGGAGTTCTTTTATTGTAAATTCACTCATGTAAAGTATAAAAAACTAGTCCTGAATTCTGTGCCATGTGAATATGAATCAGGAGCAGGAGTGGGCTTTGTGGCTCCTCAAGCATGCTCCATTCTGATCCAGTTGTGGTCTCAAAGCCACTTCTCTGCCTACCTTGACAACATTTGATTTCTGTCTTAGTCAAAAATTTACCTCCATCTTTCTTAAAAAAAAATTGAATAGCCCTGCCTCCCTGCTTTCTGGGAAGAGTGCTCCACAGACTCACAACTATTTGGGAGCAAAAAATAATGTTCTCATCTCCTTTCTAAATTTAGGACCTTTTGTTTTTAATGTCTACCCATTACTTCTAGTTTCTTATACAAGGGAAACATCCCCTCAGAACCTTATGCATCTCAACAGATGACCTCTTATCCTTTGAAATATCATTTGATACAAGCCCAACCTGTTTAACTTTCCTCACAAGATAACCCCTCCGTCCCTGGTTGCAGGCCACTGAACCTTCTCTGAACTGCTTTGACTTAGTTATGTACATTCTCAAACTTGTACACAAAACTCCAGAGAAAGAAAACCCTGAAGAACTGTGAATGCTGGAAATCAGAAACAAAAACAGATATTGCTGGAAAATCTCAGTAGGTCTGGCAGCATCTGTGCAGAGAAAGCAGAGTTAACATTTTGGGTCTAGTGACTCTTCTTCAGAACTGATTTTAGCTGGGAAAAGGTTGGTAAATATGCTGAAGATGGGGTCGGGGGGTGGGGTTGGGGGTGTTGGGGGTGCGGGTGGTAGGTTGGGGTGTGAAGGAAGGGTAAATGATATGGAGTGACGGAGCCCAGAGAGAGAAAATCATTTGGGCAGACAAAGGAATGAGCAAAGGTCAGTCATAGAATCAATAGCTGCTAATGGGGACTGCTAGTCACTGACAATGAGTAGTTTGTAGTAACAGTCCATGTGATGACAAAGCCTGGTATATGGGGGTTGGGGTAAAGACATGGGAGAAAGTGTTAAGGACCTAAAATTCTTGATATTGGGTGCTGAAAGCTGCAGGGGCTCCAAGTGGAAAATGAGGTGCTGTTCTTCCAGCTTAGAATCGTGAGAGCACTGCAGAAAACCTGAGACAGAGATGTTGCAGGGAACACGGTGGTGCTGTGAAATGGAAGGCAGCAGGAAGCTCAGGGTAATTTTTGCAGGCAGAATGTAGGTGTTCTGCAAAGTGGTTGCCAAGCCTATGTTTAGTGGTCTCCTCTACATTGAGGAGACAAAACATAGGCTGTATTGATTGCTCACATTGTGGTCTCCCCTACATTGTGAGACATTGTGAGCAATCAATACAGCCTATGTTTTGTCTCGTCAATGTAGAGGAGACCACATTGTGAGCAATCAATACAGCAGACTAGATTAAATGAAGTGCAGGTAAAGCATCAACTCTTTTTCTCACAATACTCCAGATTTGGTCTCACCAATGGCGCGTAGAACAGTTACAAAGCATCTTTACTTCTATTTTTCATTCTACTTGTGATAAATGACTATTCCATTTGCCTTCCTAATTACTTGCTGTACCTGTATAGTAGCCTGATGTAATTAATGCACCAGAACACTCAGATCACTCTGCATCTCAGACTTCTGCCATCTCTCCCTTTTCAGATAGATTTTTTTTTTGTTCATCTTACCACAGCATGCAATATAAAGACTAAGCTAAAATTTGCAGAGTTAGCTGAAATGAAGTGAAATGAAGAAAAAAATTGAAACCTAGTGATGACCTCTTGACTAAAAATTATCACTGGTTTTATGTTTTACTGAATGAATGTTTATGTTGGTGTTATAACTCAGCAATAATGACCTGTACTGTCACAGTACCTCTGAAAAGCTGAAGTTCTATTTAAGACAGACATGATAGACCACGTGTGATAGTTGGAACTATTTATCAGCTGAATGTGATTGTCATGGGATTGTGCTGTACAAGTATCATGTGGCTGGTTGCATTACATAAAGTAGTGAGCAGCCTGAACAAGCTGGCCTGAGTCAAAGTTCATTAAGTGTCTTTCCAGCGAGATGCAATCAAGTCTTAATGAGCAATATATCAAACCAGCCATGGTGAATATGTTATGGACCAGATCATACACTCTCAAAATATATTAAGAAGATAATCTAGATCCTAACTTTTTATTATTTTGAAAGGTAAGTGCGAGGTGTTATGTTCTGGATGCAACTTGATTTGTCAAACTACCAGGTTTAAAAAAAAACACTCTACTAGTTGACTGTTCCAATATAGTAACATCTCAAACACCCTTGGAAAAAGCAAATTCAGTGGAAGAGAAACCTAGCTTTCAGCTGTTACAGAGAGAGAAATAAAAGCTTCCACATCCAGCTTCCAGATCCCAGCAACTTTTAAACACACCATTGGCAAAGGCAAATTCAGTAAAACAGTAAGTTAATCAATCACGGTTTCCCTTTCACAACACCATGTTGATGCAGTCTGGTTATACTGAGATGTTCTCAATGCTCTGCTGCCTCCTTTATTAAAAAAAAACTCCAGCATTTTCATTTTTTTTTCATTTGTTCATGGGATAGGAGTTCACTGCCTAGGCCAGCATTTGTTACCCATTACTAATTGCCCTTGACGATGTGGTGGTAAGCTACTTTATTGAACAACTGTGGCTGTTTGGGTGTAGGTAATTGCACAATGCTGTTACAAAGGTTTGCAGGATATTAACTCAGCCACAATAAAAGTAAGGCAATTTTCTGAGCAAATGGCTTAGGGGCCAATGTAAAGCCATGAGTAATTCGCCTGACTGCTTGCGGACCTGCAGCATTTTCAGTTATTAGGAGCCTGAATTTCCCTGAGGCATCAGTTTTTTTTTCAGTTCATATACAGATGATGGAGTCACTGACTAGGCAGCACTGATTGCTCATTCCTAACTTAGTTCAGAGTCAACCACATTGCTGTGGGTCTGGGGTCACATGTAGGCCAGACCAGGTAAGGATGGCAGTTTCCTTCCCTAAAGGACATTAGTGAACCAGATGAGTTTTTCTGACAATTGACAATGGATTCATGGTCATCATTAGACTCCTAATTCCAGATGTTCATTGAATTCAAATTCCACCAGCTGCCATGGCAGGATTTGAACCCGGGTCCTCAGAACATTATCTGGATCTCTGGATTAACAGTCCAGCAATTATACCACTAGGCCATCGCCTCCCCTACTAAAACCTTTAAAGAGTTAATGGATTTAGTTAAGGAATATTATGACACCAAGCCTCCTTTAATCCTGAGATGTTATCGGTTTTATTCGGTAGTTTGAGAACCAGGGGAATCTAATTGGGAACTTTTGACAGAGTTAAGATGACTGGCAAAGGCACACAATTTTGGGTTAACCCTGAAAGAGATGCTGAGAGACTGGTTGATGCATGGAATTAATGATATAACCATGCAAAAGCACCTATTAGCTGAAGGCCAACTGGACTTCAAACAGGCACAGGCTTTATCATTAGAAAATATGGCAAGTACAGCATGGGAGCTACAGGGCATCCCAATGAAAGTGGACATCCTCAACTGCCCGACTAAGCTTGGGGAACATCACTTGACTGTAGGCAATCGTGTAGCCTCACGCATGACATATTCTGAGCAGAGGGAACCTAGGTCAGCCCAGAGCAAAACCCCACAACAAAACTGTGCCTCGGCCAATGGCTAAGATGTTCTTCAGGATCTGGGCCAGCAAGCTATTATAATTGCTGCCAGTTTGCTGACTCAAGACGCAAAGGAATCCTATGAAGCCTGACCTGAGTGAGAGAACACATAGGTTGGTATCCATGAGAGTTCACACCTTGGAAAGTCCACCTACAGGTGGTTTGGAACAGCTAAATTGCTCAGTAACATCCAAATCAGAACCAAAATAAGTGTCTGGTTAAGTGTTCACCTGGTTTTAATGCAAGTCCATACCAGCTCAACTCTATCAGTGATTGCAGAACCAGTCTTTAACAAAATTTCCTCTCCACTTCAACACTTATATTGCGTAAGACCTTGGCTAGACCGAGAACCTGGACCAGGGAATCTTTACAGATTAAGGGGACAACTTTGGTTTCAGTCCCTTATGAGAAGCAGGAGGTTCAGTTCCCACCGATTGTAGTAAAAAGCTCAGGCCCAATCTTGATGGGGCAAAATTGGTTGAGAAAGATTCACCTTGACTGAGTCAACGTTTTCCAATTAGACAATGGCTGCCTGAGTGAATCCTAATTAAATACCTGGATGTTTATCAGGAAGGCTTAGGGACTGTCAAATGAGCTAGGGCCACCTTAAAAGTTGACCAGGAAGCAATTCCATGATTCTGCAAGGCCCGCCCAGTGCCATTTGCTTGTATGCTAGAGGCAGAAAGCAGGAGGCAGTAAAGCGAAGTAGTCACCAAATTGGTATAGCCTGTGGAATGGGCAGTACCAGTCGTACCAGTTGTGAAGCCCAATGGGTCTGTTCGTCTTTGCGGGGATTTTAAGCAAACAGCAAATCACTTCTCACAGCTGGATAAATACCAAATCCCTTGCATAGAGGATTTCTACACAAAGCTGGTAGAGGGGCTGTCCTTCACGAAGCTGGACATGGGCCATGACATGTAATTGCGATTAGATGTGGAGTCCCAGAAGTATGCCACAATTAATGCCCATAAGGGTTTGTACCAATATGCAAGACTGCCATGTGGAGCATATGAAGATACACCCAGATAGAGAAGAAAGGCTGGCAGTCAACTTTGGTATGAGAAAGTTCTACCAATGCATTTGCGGATGTAAATTTGTAATATTAGTGGACCCCAAACCTCTGCTAGGAGTAATTAAAGAGGACAGGGCCTTGCCATCCGTAACTTCAGGTTGAATTCAGCAATGCATTCTTATTCCAAGTGCATGCACTTAAAAGTTGGAAACCATCCAGGAAGCCAAGTGACAAATGCGGATGCCTTGAGCCACCTCCCACTGGCAGATACACCACCGGTGATGCCTCCCCTGGAAGAGCCCATTCTGGTTTTAAACTTCCAGGACTCCCTTCCATCACCGCTGAAGATATCAGGCTTTGGACACAAAAAGATCTCGTCCTGGTAAAACTAAAACCTGGCAATGGGGGAAAACAAAAGGACCGTCACAACCAGAATTGAAACCTTTCTGGATCCGGCAAGGAAGAGATTACTATGGGGACCAAGAGTGATTGCCCCAAGCAAAGGTCACCACTAGATACTGGCTGATCTCCACTAGCGTCATCCAGGTCTGTCCAAAGTGAATATGTTGGCAGGAAATTATATCTGATGGCCCAGATTGGATGCTGACATAGCCATGTTGGTGGGGCAGTGCCCAGGAGAGCCAACAAGGACAGAAATAACTGCCAGTAGCTTCTCCATCTTCATGAATAAACCCTAGACTTGGTTACACATTAACTATCAGTCCTTTCATGGGGTTTATATTCTTAGTCATTGTGGATGCCTATTCAAATTGATCGGATGTGCATAAAGTTCATTCGTCAAACATGGGGACGACAATTGAAAAGTTGCGGGCATCTTTTGCAATACACAGACACCCAGAAATGCTGGTTACAGACAACAGGCCAATAATTTCCAGCAGGGAATTTGAATATTTCCTAAAGTCGAATGACATTCAGCGTACAAGGACAGCTCCATACTATCTATCATTCAATCGTCTGGCGGAAAGAGCTGTCCAAACTTTGAAGGCAGACTTAAAGAAACAGCTTAGAGCTTCACTCGATACCAAACTGTCCCAGTTCCTGTTTAATTATAGAACCACCCCCAGCAATTCCAGGGGCAGTTCCAGCAGAGTTGCTAATGGGGAGAAGACTCTGCACCACGTTAAATCTGATCTGGGGTGGGGGGAAGGAGGGTGAAACGGCATCAGGAATGCCGATGCCAGACACAAGCCTCCTCTAAGAGAGGGAAGCAGTTTACTTCAGGGGACAAAGTTTGTTGTAGGAACCACGGGAATGGCTCTGCACGGTTAAGAGGGATGGCCGACATGAGGTCAGGTTCAGCGACGTATAAAGTTCGGGTAGGAGAGGCAGTCCCAAACAGGCACATGGACCACACGAAAGCTGCAACCTTGCAAGCAGGACAGGAACAAAGCTTACCCAGCCCCTCAGAACTTCAGGCAAGTCTGTCAGAACTCATGGGTTCTCCCCTTTCACCTAGTGTCAAAGAAATCTCCGGGAATGAGATGAACACAGTAGAAATCGCAGCCTCGACGTCGTTACTACCTGAAGATGATGATGAGTTTTAGCCGAGATGCTCTGGGCACAAGAGTTGGGCTATGTTCCAGTACATGCCGCCAGTATCTGAGGCAGAGTCAGAGAACCCAGACCTGGTATGAAAACGTCTAAGGAGAATCTACAGGAAAAATAATGGGCCTACATCCCAGGACTTGGAGGGGGATGGATGTAATGGGTGGAATGAGATCAGCCAAGTCGATCTCATTGCGTATGAGTTCCCTGATTGAGCTGTTAACTTGGTCCAATCAGGGAGCCCTGGCTGATGGATAGAAATGAAGTTTGGTGTAGGAACCAAGGGAATTCCTCTCCATGGGTAAGAGGCATGGTCAACATGAGGCCAGGTCCCGTGATGTATGAAGTTAGGTTAGGAGAGGTGGTTCCAAACAAGCACGTGGACCACATGAAAGCTGGAACCTTGCAAACGGGATGGTACTGTGGCTCAATGGTTATCGGTGCTGCCTCACAGCATCAGGGACCCGGGTTCAATTCCAGCCTTGGGTGACTGTCTGTGTGGAGTTGGTATATTCTCCCCGTGTCTGCATGGGTTTCCCCTGGGTGCTCCGATTTCCTCCCACAGTCCAAAGATATGCAGATTAGGTGGATTGGCCATGCTATATTGCCCAGTGTCCAGGGATGTGCAGGCTAGGTGGATTAGACATGAAAAATGCAGGGTTACAGGGACAGTGTATAGGATGGGTCAAAGAGGATGGTCTTCAGAGGGATGGTGTGGACCCGATAGGCCGAATGGCCTGCTTCTACACTGTAGGGATTCTATGATGTTTCTATGATAAACAGGAGTGTCAGATGTTCTGCTGTCTCTAGGAGCCAGCTCTGTGCCAACTGAGTCAGAGTCATAGAGATGCATACCATGGAAACAAACCCTTTAGTCCATGTCGACCAGATATCCTAAAATAATCTAGTCCCAGTTGCGAGCATTTGGCCCATATTCCCCTAAACCCTTCCTATTCGCGTATCCGTTCAGATGCCTTTTTAATGTTGTAATTCTACCACAGTTCCAGTTCCACAGTTCCAGTCTATAGTTCCGCCTTCCTTAAATAGAGGCTCCTCATTAGCCAACCTCCAATCTTCCGGCACCTCACCTGTGGCTATTAGGTACTATGCAATGTGAAGTATGTGTGACTTGGTGAATGGATACTGGCCTTTATGGAGTTATTTCTGTATAATATCACAAACTTATTTGATCTGTGATTGAATCCTATACTCTGGGAAATATTATCGTCACATTCTACGGAACATGATCCTGTACAAAGTGTGACCTGTCAGAATTGGACTCATTTGGACTAATCATTCCGCAAATCCTTTCACCAGACAAGACATACAATTGAGGAATATTGACCTCATTTTTTTCTTTTGTAATACATAAAAGATATACCACTATCAGTGCCATTATTTGAATTGAACAGTATGCGTAGCATCTAAAGGTGATAAGAGAGCAAAATTCCATTAAGATTTATCTATTAATTAATGATGGTATGTGTGAAATTATGGTGATAAATACAAAACTCCTACTTTGGTCTTGAAGCTCTTCTGATCATCATATCCAAGCCATTCATTACCCTTGAATGCATAAGGCACCATCTGATCATTAATAAATTGAAGGGATGCATCTTTCAAAAATGCACAGATCTGTCAATCAAAACCAATGATTATTGTTAGAATGTCAGGCAAATGTATCCTATTTTCTCACAGATTCAATCCCACTTATACACAATTAGTCAAATTGTTTTACTAATGAATTAAATATATTTAATTGGAAAATAAGTAGAACATTGATATTTCATTAGAGAAGAAAGAATCCTCCTGAAAACATACATTGCTAAGAAAGAAAAGTACAGGGATAGAGTATTAAATATATGCAATATTATCCTTTTAATGCTAACAGTGAGGATTAATCACAAAAGGTTGGGGGATCTATCATAAAAGAAGACAATAAGAAATATGAATAGGAGTATGCCGTTCAGCCCTTCAAACCTGTTCTGCCATTCAATAGGATGATGGCTGATCCAACGTTCTTCATGTCCACTTTTCTGCCTTTTCCCCATAGCCCTTGATTCCCTGACTGATCAAGAAACTATCTCAGCCTTAAATATACACAAGGGACTCTGTGGCAAGGAGTTCCCAATACTCTCAATCCTCTGAGAGAAATCCCTCCTCATCTCAGTCTTAAGTTGGTGCCTCTTTATTCTGGGACTGTGCACTCTGGTCCTACACTGTCCCACAAGGGAAATATTCTCTCAGAATTCACTTGTCAAGCACCTTAAGAATCCTATATGTTTCAATGAGATCACCTCTCATTCTTCTAAGCTCCAGGGAGTGGAATCGCAACCTGTTTAACATTTGTTCATAAGACAATCCATCCATCCTGGGGATCATCCTGGTGAATCTTTCATGAATATCTCTTTCAAATCTTTTTCAAAAGGCATAGTTTGTAGACTTTAGGAGTGTCTGAACCTCTGCATGACAGGAAAATTTTTTTTGTGTTCACAATAGATATCATGGAGGAACATATACATATATAATATCTTTAAACAAATGGAATGAAATGGGATTTGCTGAAAAGTGACATTTTCTATTTATTGGACTAAAGACACTTCAGCAAAATTTCTGCTTCCACACATTTGGCGGTGCCCATTAGCAGATGGCAAAATCAAAACCCTGCTCCTCATAACGGTTTGCCTTTTCAGTGCATCACATGTTCTTTCTATGTGTAAATAACTGGGGCTTGTTTAGTAATATATGCAGCTTCCAAGTACATGCAAGTGTGCCATTCCACCTCTAAATTGTCAGCAAAACAGCTAGCTTCACGCTGCTATTATATAGCAAAATGAATGGTGTTTGTCTTTAACAGGATACTGCCTTCAAGCCAAAAAGACATTGTGCCTATCACACAAATAAGCAACATGATTGATGGATTTCAGTGCCAGCATGATGCCAAGTATTTAGGCTGTATGTCCCAAAGTCTGGCAGATTGTATCTAGCAGCACATCCTTTTGGGCTTTTTGCAATGTGTGTTTGATTTGCTTGGATTTATTATTGTCACATTTATCTAAGTACAATGAAAAGTTTTGTTTTGCATGCAGTACAGAAAGATAATAACATACAAAGATCATAGAGTGATTGAACAGAGCAAGGAATACAAAGTTACAGCTGCAAAGAAGGTGGCAAAAAAGCAGAAGTCCAATAACAGGGAAGAAGCTGTTCTTTCACCTGTTGGCATCTGTGTTTAAGCTTTTGTATCTTTTGCCTGATGGAAGAGATTGAAGAAATTATAAACAGGTGGGGGGGTGTTTGATGTTGGCCACCTTTTCATGGAAACAAAACATATAGATGGAGTCAATGGATGGAAGGTTAGCTTGTGTAATGGTTTGGGCTATGTTCAGAACTTTGTAGTTTCTTACAGTCCTGGGTAGAGCAGTTGCCGTACCGAGCCGTGATGCATCCTGATAGAATGCTTTCTATGCCTCATCTGTAAAAGCTGCTGAGGGTCCTTATGGACATGTTGAATTTCCTTAGCCTCCTGAGGAAGAAGGGCATTGTTGTGCCTTCTTGACTGTCACATCAACATGGGTGGTCCAGGACAGATTGTTGGTGACCCTCACACCTAGGAACTTGACGGTCTCAATCATCTCCACCTCAGCTCCATTGATGTAGGTAGGGGTGTGCCCTCCTCCTTGCTTCCTGAAGTCGATGATCAGTTCTTTAGTTTTGCTAGCATTGAGTAAGAGATTGTTATCTTCGCACCATATCACTAAGCCCTCTCTTTCCTATATTCTGTTTTGTCAAACTTGTAGAGGGAGTTTGGATGAAATTTGGCCACATAGTCATGGGTGTACAGGAGGGGGCTGAGTAAGCAATCTTGCAGGATGCCAGTGTTGAGGATTGTTATGGAGGAGGTGCTGTTGCCTATTCTCACTGATTGCAGTCTGTGGGTCAAGAAGTCAAGGGTCCAGTTGCAGAGGGCAGAGCAGAGACCTAGGTCTCAGAGTTTGGGGATTAGTCTGCTCAATATTATAGTGTTGAAGGCAAACCTGTAGTCAATAAACAGAAGCCTGACATAGGTATCCTTTTCAAAAACAAAGTTGCTGGAAAAGCTCAGCAGGTCTGGCAGCATCTGTGGAGGAGAAAACAGAGTTAACGTTTCGGGTCCGGTGACCCTTCCTCAGAACTGATGGTGGCTGGGAAAACGTCAGTTTATATGCAGAAAATAGGGAGGTGGGTGGGGTAGGCAGTAAATGATAAGATAGACCTCAAAGAGAGAGAAAGACAGTTGGACAGACAAAGGAGTTGCAAACGATCAGGCTGGGAGGGTGAATAGTTGTTAATGGGGACTGTTAGTGACTAACAACAGGGGGTGTGTAGTGGCAGGCTATGTGGTAACAAGGCCTGGTGTGTGGGGTGTTGGGCTGGGACATGGGAGAGTTTACGCCCTAAAATTATTGAACTCAATATTGAGTCCGGAGGGCTGTAGGGTCCCCAAGCAGAAAATGAGGTGTTGTTCCTCCAGCTTGCATTGGGCTTCACTGGAACACTGCAGCAAGCCGGAGGCAGAGATGTTGGTCAGGGAGCAGGGTGGTGCATTGAAGTGGCAGGCAACAGGTAGTTTCAGGGTCTCTTTTGCGAGCAGAATGTAGATGTTCTGCGAAGCGGTCGCAGATGATCATCAGACGCCATTTCCGCCACCTGCAGCAAGATGCCACCACCAGACACATATTCCCCTCCCCTCCCTTGTCCGCCTTCTGCAGGTACCGTTCCCTCGGGGACACCCACCCCGAAGACCTCCCCACAGCCCTATGGCACCTTCCCCTGTAACCGGCGAAGGTGCAACACCTGCCCATTTACCGCCTCCCTCCCCAGTATCCAAGGGCCCAAACATACCTTTCAGGTGAAGCAACACTTCACCTGCACTTCCAAGAATCTAGTCTATTGCATTCGCTGCTCACAATGTGGTCTCCTCTACACTGGGGAAACGAAGCGTAGACTTGGTGACCGCTTCGCAGAATATCTACGTTCTGCTCGCAAAAAACACCCTGAACTACCTGTTGCCTGCCACTTCAATGCACCACCCTGCTCTCTGGCCAACATCTCTGTCTCCGGCTTGCTACAGTATTCCAGTGAAGCCCAATGCAAGCTGGAGGAACAATACCTCATTTTCTGCTTGGGGACCCTACAGCCCTCCGAACTCAATATTAAGTTCAATAATTTTAAGGCGTAAAGTCTCCCATGTCCCAGCCCAACCCCCACACACCAGGCCTTGCTACCACATAGCCTGCCACTACACACCCCCTGTTGTTAGTCACTAACAGTCCCCATTAACAACTATTCACCCTCCCAGCCTGATCGTTCGCAACTCCTTTGTCTGTCCAACTGTCTTTCTCTCTCTTTGAGCTCTATCTTATCGTTTACTGCCTACCCCACCCACCTCCCTATTTTCTGCATATAAACTGACGTTTTCCCAGCCACCATCAGTTCTGAGGAAGGGTCACCGGACCCGAAACGTTAACTCTGTTTTCTTCTCCACAGATGTTGCCAGACCTGCTGAGCTTTTCCAGCAACTTTGTTTTTGTTCCTGATTTACGGTATCCGCAGTTCTTTTGGTTTTTTTTTATAGGTATCGTTTTATTCAGATATTCCAGGGATGAGAGTAGGGCTAAACAAATGGCATCTGTCATTGTCCTGTTGCAACAGTAGGTAAATTGCAAGGGAACGAGGCAGGCTGGGTGGCTAGAGTTAATATGAGCCATGACTAACCTCTCTAAGTACTTCATAATAAGGGAGGTTAGAGATACGGAGCAGTAGTCATTGAAGAACGTTGCATGTGTTTCCTTTGGTACTGGGATGATGGTGGTCATCCTGAAGCAGCTGGAGACTTCAGATAGTAGCAAGGAGAGACTAAAGATGTCAGCGAATACTCCATCAGCAGGTTCGCACGGGATTGGAGTGCACGACCGGGGACTCCCTGGGTTCACTCTCGAGAAGGCCGATCTGGTGACTGATACTTTTGGGACAGGTGATACTGTTTCACTAACCTTCTGTTCGAACCGAGCATAAACACCATTGAGTGCATCAGGGAAGGATGTATTTTTGTCCACTATTCTGTTCTGCGTACTGACAATACTTAAGCAAACCATACATGCGATATTCAGAACACAGCAGCTAACACCAATGTGATTTTGTAATTGGCAATCATATGCTATTTTATCCTGAGTGTGCAAAGAATTACAGCGATGACCAATTAAGGTCCATCAATTGGGCATGCAGTGTAATGCCATTGCATGTACTGTAAGACATATGGCAATAGACAGGGCTGTGCTCTTTGAAACAAATGTGCAAAACATGTGATAGCCATTCACTGGAGATAGGTCAGCGGGAAGGGTAGAGCGGATGAGTGGGGAAGAAGATGGACAGGTCGTGCCAGGTCAAGAAGGTGGTGATGAGAGGGATGTTTGGACATGGGATGAGGCTGGAGAGCCTCCAACCCGACGGCCTTAATGTAGAATTCACCAGTTTTAAAATCTCCCCAACCCCCAGCCTCATCCCACATTCAAACTTCCTTCTCATCCCCTCCTCCTTGACCTGACACAACCTGTCCATCATCTTCCCCACCTATCGGCCCTACTTTTCACGCC